GCCTCCCTCACTCACCATTATCACTGCTCCTCACAGCCTCCCTCACTTACCATTATCACTGCTCCTCACAGCCTCCATCACTCTTGCCTGGAAGGCTGGGGTGATGTTGCTGGAGACCTCCAGGGATCTGCTGGATTGGAGCACAAGCAGGGCTCCTCTTTCTTCAGTGAAAAGGTTACCCTTCTGTTATATACAGCACGGAAACAGACCCTTCGGTCCAACTCGTCCGTGCCGACCAGGCATCCCAATCTGACTCAGTCCATTTGCCAGCATTTGGTCCATATCCCTCTGAACCCTTCCTACTGATGTACCCATCCAGATGCCTTTTAAATATTGTAATTGTACCAGCCCCCATCACTTCCTCTGGCAGCTTGTTCCATGAGCAGGTCAGGAGACTGACTACAAGGTGTAGTGGACTCTCCCTTAAGGCCCTCGAGTCCTGATGAAGGGTCCCGACCTGAAACATTGACCTTCCTGCTCCTCTGATGCTACCTGACCTGCTGTATTTCTCCAGCTCCACACTATGTTGACTCCCTCAAAGCTACCCTTGCCAATTTGATTAATCCAGTCCATATGCATGTTAAAATCACCCATGGTTCTTGCTGCTTCTCTCACACGCTTCCTGGTTTTTACTATGGGACTACTGTTTTTTTTTGGTAGGAGGGGGCCTATAGCTTACTCCCAGCAGCAACTTCTTTACCTTGCTAGTTCTTATTTCTGTCTAAAATAAAAATGAAAGAGCTGCTGTAAATCAGAAGCATAAACAGAAGTTGCTGAGAAAACAGGTCTGGCAGCATCTGGGAAGGGTCACTGCACCTGAAATGTTAACTTTGATTTCCCTTCAGAGGTGCTGGCGGACCTGCTGAGCTTATTTCTGTCTAGACTGATTCTACGTCTTGATTTCTGACACCTATACTATTTCTTACTACTGCCATGATTCCCTTCTTTAGTAACAAAGAAACACCATCTCCTTTTCCTTCCTGCCTGCTATTCCAAAACACTGAGTATCTTTGGATATTCAATTCCACCCTCAGGTCCTCTTTAAATCTTTCCCCTTTCACCTTAAACCTTTGCCCCTCTATTTTTGGACTCTCCCACCCTGGGGGAAAAGCCCGTGGCTATTCACCCTATCCATGCCCCTTATGGTTTTTATAAACCTCTATAAGGTCACCCACTCGGCCCCTATGGCCCACCCCCTATGGCCGTTACAACTTTCACAAGTTGGGGATTGAATGGCAATCTGAAATGAGATGCTCGGTTATCCAGGATACTGCTGAATGATTTAATATTTGGGGTTCACACTCATGGGATTATGTGTACACTGTCATTACCTGTCTACCTTTCATTAGTGAAAATGGCCATCTCCTGCATGAGGAGAGTCACCTGTTTTCCATTCTAGCATGGCTATGCAGATCTATTCAGGTTTCCACTGTGTGTGTGTGCGTGTGTGCGCGTGTGTGTGCGCGTGTGTCTATGCTTGTACATGTGCGCGTGCGTGTGTGAGCGCGCATGTATGTGCATGTACCTGTGTGTACGCATGCGTGTGTGAGCGCGCATGTATGTGCATGTGCATGCGTGCGTGTGTGAACGATTGTGTGTGTGCATTTGTGCGTATGTGTGTGCATGCGTGTGTGTGCATGTAACGAGCTGCCAGAGGTGGAGGAGGCTGGTACAATTGCAACATTTAAAAGGCATTGGATGGGTACATGAATAGGAAGGGTTTAGAAGGATACGGGCCAAATACTGGCAAACGGGCCATTTGGCGAGCGTTCTTTGTCCATTAAAGTCCAGCCATAACTGTCCCCCACCACCCCATGGACCAAATGCTGGCAAATGGGACTAGGCACCTTCTTAAATCCTCAGCAGTCCATGTGAATTTGGCATGCTTTGATATGACAAAGTATGTCACATAGGCCATTTCAGAGGGCAGTCAGGACTCAAGACCACCCCCTGCATCTTCCCCTCCCATAGATTCCCCTCATCTCCCGAATTTGCATAAATGAATGTTTTTTATGTAGTACTCGAAATTACTCAGTTTGCGTTCAATGGTCTGGCATTTACTCCCAATGATGTCTAATTCCCTTGACATTGTTTTAGAAATGCATCTTCAGGCAACTTGTCTAAGTCAACATTTGTTGCCCATTCACAATTACTCCCTGAACTGTTCATTCTAAGGGCAAATTATCTTGCACACTGCAACACCGGAGGGAGTTCCCAAACTCTAGCACTGGCCAACCTAAGGAGACATTAACACTGGTAACAGACAACTTGGCCAAAGTAGTAGGTTTGAAGGATATTCATGATGAGGGCACCAGGCAGCTGAAGGTATAGCCACCCATGGTGTGGCGATGGAAATCAGAGATTTTCAAGAGGTGGAAATTGGAGGGGCACAGAGATCTCGGAGGGTTGGAGAAGGTTTAAGAGATTGGGGGTATATTGGGGAGAGGTTTGGACAGCTACATTGAGTGTCCAGGTCAAACTGAAAAGACAAAGAACTTTCCTCCCCTAACAGCCAGGCAGTCTTGGTTTCCATACGTTTATTTATGGGATTTGGATTTTGCTAGCTAGCCTTGGCATTTATTGTCCGTCCCTAATTGCCACCCCCCTGAGAACGTGGTGGTGAGCTGCCTTCTTGATCCACTGCAGTCAAGGGAGACCTTGCACAGTGCCCCCATTAGGGAGGGAGTTCCAGGATTCTGACCCCGGCGACCCTGAGGGAACAGCCCATATCGTTCTAGGTCAGGATGGTGTGTGGGGGTCTCGGAGGGGAGCTTGCAGGGGATGACGTCCCTCCCTGCACCTGCTGCCCCTTGTCCTTCCCAGATTAGAGGTGGCAGGTTTGGAAGGTGCTGTCAGAGGAGCCTCAGCGAGTTGTTGCAGTGTGTCTTTGAGATGGTACACACTGCTGCTGCTGTGCGTCGGTGCTGGAGGGAGTGGAGGATTAATGTTATCATGCCAGCAATGCCTCTGGCCTGTTCTCTTTTACTGAATTTGGCCTTCTGTCTATTTCCCTTCCAGGTTCGTTTCCACAACCTCACCATCTGCTCTACTCTGAACCAAACTCATCTTGCCTAACTCGGTCTGGCCACAGAACCCCCTCCAGCCCAGCGGCTTTCGCAACCTCCACGTAAGCATGAATTACAGCGAGGCTACAGTGCACAAGGAGGCCATCCGGCCCTGTACTGGCTTTCGAATGAGCAGCTAGCTTGGTTACCATCCTTCCTTTCCCAAAGAATCGACCTTGCCACACTCTTGGACAGCACGTTCCCAATCCCTTGCCTCGTGTCACCTTTAGCACCATTTACCTTCAAACATTCACCCAATCCTTCCTCCCTCCTCCCCGTCTACACCTCCGCCCCGCAACCTTCCTCCTCCTGAACTTTGGATACTTCCATCAGATCTCCTCTGAGCCTACCCAAGGAGCACAGTCCCCTATCTTTGCGACTGAAGTCTCTCATCCCCAGAACTGTCCTTGCTAAACCTCTTCTGCACTCTCTCCATTGCATTCACATCTTTCTGGTAACGTAGCACCTGCAACCGTACACCCTACTCCAAGCTGAGGTCTAACTGTTCAGCATCCTCTGCTTGTTCTTGTATTTAATACTGCCAAAAATAAAGCCGAGGACACTGTATATATTTTTTTGCCACTTTAGGGTTATAATAGTTACGATGATGAAGGGCAGCGGTAGATATATAAGGCAGTAATGAGTTACAATAGTAGTATGACATCAGAGCTTCAGGCCCTAGGCCCCCTGGGAAAGTGACACCAGGGGTATCTGTACAGACAGCAGAAATTTTGGCGCGAGAGGTAAGGCCTTTTGTGTTTGCTTGCTAAGAGTTTAAAGTGTATCGAGTTAATTGTAGACCATCTGTTCCAGAAATGCAAGGGCCCATTCAACTCTGAAGAGACATTTCGAAGAGAAGCAGGAGGAGTTTGGAGGGTAGAGATAAGACTTCAAAGGGGCATGGCTATGTTGCCGGGAAGTGAGGCCAGGGGTGGACCAGCCGTCGAGAGGGACAGGAAGAGGGAAGAGAGGAAGCAAAGGCCGGAGGAGAGCCCGGACATCGCGAAGGCCGGGGGCAGCCGGCAGAGGGTGGGGGCCAGGCAGAGGAGCAAGGAGCAGCTGGAGAAGGTGGAGAATGTGGTGGCAGTGGTGGTGAAGGTGGTGGAGAAGGTGGTGGGTGAGCTGGTGGAGAAACTGAACCTTGATGGGGTGATGGGCAAGCTGGAGGAGATGCACGAGGGTCTGTGGAGGGCACAGGGCGACGACCCAAGCCAGGGCTCAGGCCAGAGGAGGGCCCAGGGAGCAGGAGGAGGGACGGGCGAGGCAGTGAAGGAGAAGGCCCTTGAGTGCACACAGGCTCCCTTTACGCCGAACCAGCAGAAGGCCTTCCGCCAAGTCTTCGACATCCTGGTGGCTAGAGCAGGTGGCTGCATTGACCTCCACGGCTTCCAGTCACTGCTCAGAGATGAGGGCATCGTCGCCAGCGAGGC